CCTTTCAGACCAAACTTAAGACTGACCTTTCTAGAGGGTTTTGGTTAAATGGTTCCACTCTTTGCATGTATGTCCCTTTCTGTTAACTGCATTTCCATCCTCCTAGCATGTCAGACTGAAAATTCAGTTTCTTTTAACTCCTTCCTCTCTATTACACCTATGCCTTGTTCTCCGTTCCAACCGCCACTATCTCAGCTGTCTTCTTGGTGTCTCCAGGAGCCTTTCCAAGGGCCCCTGATTTCCAGTCTCTTCTCCTGTGCTGCCCCCTTCTGCTTCCCTAGGGAGAGCTCTGGGGTCTGCTCCAGCCATTCCACATCCATCCCGAAAAACTTCATCTGATCAGACTCCTCAACCTAGTGTGCAGGACTTTCCATGTCCTGGATTCAAGGATTTATTTTTTAAGAATTCAAATTATTTTTGCAATCTGGTTTTCCACCACACTGTTTTATCATGCTTGGCGTAAATTTAAATTTATCAAATTGCTAAACTTGTCAGAGAGAAAGGAGTGTGCTTGACTCGGTCATTTCGTGTCTGTGGCCATAACTGACGACGTGTCTTCTTCAGCCTTTCAAACAGGGTGTATGCTTCTAATGCCCCTCTACATCATTCATAAATATTCATTTGCATTTTAATTTTTAGTAAAGACCCAGGCCTGTTGGTGCACTCCTTTAACCCCAGCACTCAGGAAGCTGAGGCAGGAGGATCACTGAGAGTTTGAGGCCAGCTTGAACTACATAGTGAGACCTGGTCTCAAAAATTTTTTATTAAAGATACATGTTCTATATTTTTAAAAATACTATGAGTTTGCCATGAAAAAGAGCAGTCCCCCTCCCCACGACTCTCAATCCCTGTTCACCTAAGGAGACACATCCTTAATAACCTCAATGTTTTCTTCTATTAATCTATGTTTCTGAAGGATCAGCTTTCCTCTATTTGGATTTTTTCAGTTTAAAATATTATTTATTACCATGAAATTATTATTATTATTATTATTTATTACCATGGAACTTATTATTATTATTATTATTATTATTATTATTACATTGATCACCATGAAAAATGAGGACTTTAACCCTTATGCAGTAGAGAGCGGCCACTCACCCTCAGCATGCCCGTGCACCCCAGCTCAGCACGGAGGCTCTGCCCTCCCCTGAGCTCGGTGCGGGCACAACACGAACCGTGCTTACCCTGAGAGCGCCTCTCTGCTCTGGCGGGCTCGGTGCGGCTGACGGGTCCAACTTGGTTTGCTGTTGCTGCTGGTGCTGGTGCTTAGTTGCTCTCTGCAGTCTCCCAACACCCCCACCACCACTGCCAGGGAGCCCTCTTCCTCCTCTGCTGTGGGTTTTCTGTCTCCTGATGTCTTCCTCTTTTTCTGCTTACCGCTTCATTTCAGTGGCACCCTAACCCCCATCTTCTAATTGCTTTGTAAAAAAGAATGGTGCCTGAGCTGGGTGTGGTGGCGCACACCTTTGATCCCAGCACTTGGGAGGCTGAGGCAGGAGGATTGCTGCAAGTTCGAGGCCACATAGTAGTCCAGGGCCTACCTGAACTACAACCTGAACCCTGACTCAACCCCCCCAAAAAAACGGTGCCTGGGAAATAAAACTGGGAGGTTTTACAGGCCTTAAAATGGTGTGCAGTATACAATGCTAGGTTGGAAATAATCTTGCTTCCGAGCTTTTAATCTTCACCCCTTACCACCTCACTTTCACTGGTACCGTTAGGAGCTATAGGACCACTCCCCTCCCTTTCTCAAAACTAAGAATGAGTCTCTATTTCATATCTCTATTTCCCCTTCTGCAAAGCTTTGGAAGCTTCTACCTGATTAATCTGAAATTCATGAATTTTGCAACTAGATATAAGTCTCTTTCCTTTCAATCCGCTGGCTGTCTGGTCACAAAGGTCCTTTAGGGATTTTTTTTTTGAGACAAGGTCTCATTGTGTAGTTCAGACTGGCTCTGAACTCACTGTGCAGCCCAGGCTAGGCTCAAACTCATGGTGATCCTCCTGCCTCAGCCTCCCAAGTGCTGAGATTACAGGAGCGCCCCATCACACCTGAAATTCTTTTTCTAAGCATTCGCTTAGTATCAGAATTTGACTCTTTGATGTTTATTCTTTCTTGATAGAAAGGCTACTGTTTAGGTTTTAACCTTTTTTTAGTGTATGTTAGTATGTGAGCAGTATAGAACAGTGAGGTTCATTTTGGGAGTTTGATATATACATTTAACATATCTTGATCGTTTTCAGAGTTGGACTTTTCCATTTTTCATACAGCAGAAATTTTATTGAATTCACCTAGACAGGAAATGTGTAGGAAAGAAATTTCTAGTTTATTTTAACTCTCTCATTCATAGTTTTGCGAAAGGAAGAAGAGTCCAACATACTGGTAAATGCTATACTTTGGGTGTCTAATGTCTCCTAAAGGCATCAGAGTGATGAACTCTCCAGACTGGCAGAGGCCTTTGTGTCCCTGGGGACGCTGGCCCCTCCCCACTATTTCCTGGCCGTGAGGCAAGTGGTTTTGCTCTGTGATGTGCTCTCGACCGTGACATGCTACCTCACTCTGGGCCTGAAGCAATGCGGCCAAGAGGCCAGGGGCTGGAACCCACAGAACTGCGAGCCAAAATAACCCTTTCTCTGTACGAGTTGGTTAGGGCAGGTATGTCATTATAGTGACAGAAATCTGATTAACACCACACATTTGACAGATGGAGCTGATTGTGCTCAACTCAGCTACTTCCCTCTCTCTGTTGAATTTGGTTTCTCATTAGGGTTCATTCTGCCCCACTCCACCAAACCTGAACTACAGGCACAAACTCATTCTCCTCCCCACCTCTGGGTGTGTGTGTGTGTGTGTGTGTGTGTGTGTGTGTGTGGACTGCCCAAGTGTGCCAATGACTGATACCTAAGCCCTCTCAGAGGTGGCAGAAAGCAACATGATTCAATTACATGACTAAAATCACAACCTCCAGACAGCACTAGTAATAACAATAATGTAGAGAATCTGATTTCTGTCTCTATTTCCATTGTCTGTATATACTGTGGTCTGTTTTTCCTCTTACCTACTGAAGCACATCTCAGTTGCTTTCATGTTTTGGCAACTATGGATAAAGCAGCTATAAACATCTGTGTGCGAGTTTTTGGGTGGACCTAAATTTTCTTTTGGGTAATACCAAGGAGGGCAACTTCTGAATCATTTGGTAAAACTACAGATAATTGCCTATATGCTTTTGTCAGTTTTACAAGAAATTGCCAAACTGTCTTTTAAGTGACTGTACCATTGTGCATTCCCACCAGCAATGGAGGAGAGCTCCCGCTTCTTCACACCTGTACCAGCATCTGGGGGTATTAGTATTCTGTGATTTGTCCAACTGTCACGCAGTGTCATCTCACTGCTGTTTTAACTTGCATTTCCCGGATGACATGATATGGGGCATCTTTTCTTTTTTATTTTAATGTAATATAAATAGAGATTATTAAAGAAAATATAATAAAGCACCCTTCTATGAAAAATAAAGCAAAGTTTCGTAACAAAATAATTAGAGAATAATGATAGTTAATACATTGTGTATCACAATCTTTTTTTTCTTTTTGGTACCAGGGATCAACCTTGGGACCTTGTGCTTGCAAGGCAGGCAGTGGAAACACTGAGCTAAATCCCCGGCCACTTGTGTGTCATAATCTTAAAAGAATGACTAAAATGTTACTCAGAGAACAAGTCATAGATAAAAAAGATTCTCTCATACAAAGAGGAAACAGATAAAAGCACCAAGCTTTCTCTTCACTGATGGGTCATTTTTTATAAGCTTGTTTATTTTCCACAAGCTTGTTTATTTTCCACCTGTATATCTTCTTTGGTGAAGCTTCTGTTAAGGTCTTTGGCCTAGTTTTTTTTGTGTGTGGTACCAGGTATTGAACTCAGGACCTTGCTCTTTCGAGGCAGGCACCGGAACCACTGAGCTAAATCCCCGGCCAGGTCTAGTTTTTATCTAGGTTGTCTGTTCTTTTTTTGGTACGAGGGATAGAACTCGGGTCCTTGAGCTTGCGAGGCAGGCCGCGGGAACTCTGAGGTAAATCCCGGGCCCCAGGTTGTCTGTTCTTAAGGTTGAGTTTTTGGAGTTCTTTAAATAATTGTAACAGTCTTTTATGTGGTATGTCTTTTGAAATTTTTTTCTCCAAGTCTGAAGCTTTTCCTTTCATTCTCTTGAGACGTTTATCACTTCAAGCAAGACAGTTTTATCGGATAAAAGAGGAAGACTGTCTTGGCTGCAGCAGGAAGTGGGTGGCAGGGTACCAGGAACACTCGGGTGCCCCATCTACCCTAATTCCAGTTCTTGGGCTCTCAGTCTTTCTTCATCAGTGCCCTGACTTAAAGAGAACTAAGGAATATTTCAACTCTCCTTCTGGACTATTTTCTGTGTTAGTTATTGTTCTTGGTTGCACAAAAGGAAAGCAATTCTGCTAACTTGAGCAGATGGAAAATATTAGAAAATCAAGGGCTACATAGTGAGTTCAAGGCCACTCTGCACTACAAAGGAAGACCTTATCTCAAAAAAAATTAGAAAAAGTCATTCACAAAATCAATAGAAGAGTGGATAACTTAACTTGGCAAAAAGGAAAGAAAAGAAAATAGAAACGAAGGGCCCCAAGACACCGCTTAGATCTTACCCCAGGAAGGTGCGGTGTCCTTTGCTGTGTCACCATGGGGCACCGACCACGTCAGCTGTGCTGAGGTCTGAACAGTCCCTTTACCTTCATGGGTTTGCATCATTTTACTAGCTCCACGTCCTGGGTAGGAGGAGCAGAAGTTACTCTATGTTAGTTATAATAAATATTCTATTTGATACTGTCATGATTTCTATTGAGGGTGTTCTCCACGTCATCCCCGTACCAGCATATTTTTTCCTAGTGTCTTCAGAATGTCTGCAAACTCAGGATTTAAAAAAATCATCTTTTCCTTCCTTAATTTTAGCAGGTCCAGTCCATCATTTCACAGTTCTATGAAGCAAATAAATGAAAGTTTTCCAGAGTATTTCATTCTCATGGGCTTAACCAAATATCCATGGCTGAACCTTCCTCTCTTCTGTGTCTTCCTGACCTCCTACCTGTTCACATTGTCAGGAAATACTGCTATTATTTTGGTGTCTCAACTGGATTCCCAACTCCAAAGTCCCATGTATTTCTTCCTCACCAACCTTTCCTTTCTGGATCTCTGCTTCACCACCACAACTGTACCTCAAATGCTCTTCAATTTAGGGGGCGCCAACAAGAGCATAACATACACAGGCTGCATGGTGCAGGCCTATGTGTTCCAATGGCTGGGCTGTTCTGAGTGTGTCCTGCTGGGTGTCATGGCCTTGGACCGCTATGTGGCCTTGTGCCAGCCCCTGCGGTACTCTGTAATCATGGACCGCAAGCTCTGCCTGCAGTTGTCTGGCACTGCCTGGCTTCTTGGCTTGGCCAACTCACTGCTGCAGTCCACACTCACTTTCCAGATGCCTCTGTGTGGGCACCAGGCCCTGGATCATTTCTTCTGTGAGCTGCCTGGTCTTATTAGGATGGCTTGTGGAGATACCACAGTCAATGAGATTATCTTAGGAGTGGTCGCCACCTTCCTGACAATGGGTCCCCTCTCCATGATTCTTGTCTCTTATGGTTACATTGCCCAAGCTGTATTTCGAATCCCTTCTGCTGCCAGGAGACTTAAGGCCTTCAACACATGCTCCTCACACTTACTGGTGGTGTCCTTATTTTACGAGCCTGGTATCTATATCTACATGCAGCCCTCAGGGGATGAGACTCAAGACCTTACCAAAGTGTTGACGCTGTTTTACTGTGTTATTACCCCTATGGCCAACCCATTCATCTACACCCTGAGGAACAAGGAAGTGACAAGAGCTTTGAGGAGGCTTCTGAGGAAGGCCATTTCATCTAAGAGAATATGACAAGGTGAAGCCCAACAATAACCAGCAATGTTCTCTTTAAATATATGTCCTATCAAAGCCATGCTGAGAAGTAAACCCTAAAACCTTTACTTATGAAGAAAACCAGCTCCATAAGAAAATACTTGAGCCGGGGATTTAGCTCAGTAGTGCCTCCATCTGCCCCGTAAGTGCAAGGACTCAAGTTCAGTCCCTGGTACCAATAAATAAATAAATAAATAAATAAAACGCTTGAAAGTTGGTTTGAAAATGTTTTTGAACTTCCAGTATGTGTCATTGAAAAATGTTAATGAGATCTGAAGTTCTGGAACAAATATCTGAAAGGTATCATCTTGAAAGGTGTTTCACTGTGTTAGAACTTAAAAAAACCTAAAGAATGATTAAAAACAGTCTGAAATTTTCTTTAAAATATAAAATTATTTTATTATTTCTTACATTTAATTATTTTAAGAACTTATCAAATAAACAAAAGAAAAATCAATAGGTAAATGAAACATTGTTATTAAACAATTAAACCATGCAATTGCCTGCTCAGTAAGACCACTCAGAAAAAGAAAAAAAGGAGGAAATACAGATGATGCAGAGCACCTCGCATCAATGTCAAGGATGTCCAAACAGAAAGCAAAACCAGGAAAAACAGGCAGGTCCTTCAGATGCGAGAAGGTAGTAAAGGCAGTCAGCTGAAATAAAGCATGGGCTAATCGCTTCTGGCCCAGGACTCATGGTGCTGGACTGCAGTGTTGGAATAAATGCTGCAGGAGATGGTTAAATGCAATTGTCAGTTTTCACAACAAGAACTTCAGGTATGGAACTTAGCATGTCAGAAATAACATCCAGAGAGCTCAACAGAGAAGGAAAGTTCTCTCCCTTGAGATTTTAACTGAGACCTTGACAACTTGGAGCCCTGTGCACTCTGTTTTGCAGCCCAAACAACTGAGCCCGGGAGCCACTGAAGCTTTGCTCCACAGCAATCAGCTGCTGGTGAGAACTGTTTGGTTTCAGTTTTAGAACAACTGTTTGCCAAATCTGCTGTCTTTCACATGGCAGACTTGCCTCTCTCAGAAAATATGACATCATTACAGGCAGACCCCAGTGCTTCCCCTCTGAAGGAGACTGAGCTGCCTTCCAGGTATGGAGGAGGTGGGGGCAAAAGTATGAGAAGAAGTACTTGGCTTTAGTGCAGGGGGATGAGAGTGGGCACCATGGTCAGACTCGGAGAGGGTCGAGTAAGGCTTGCACTCAGCTTGTAAAAAACTGAAATGGGAAAGTAAGGAATGGACTGAAAACGGCTAGGAAAGCTCTGGAGAGCACAAAGCAAAATGCTGAGAAAAGACACTCTTGGTTTTAAGAGCCCCAAGGCCAGCATTGTGTTATCAGCCCAATGCTGCCTACTCAGGTCGGGAACCCAAAACAAAGCCGGAGACGCTGCAACTGTGCTCTACTAGACATAAAGAGGTTTTACAAGAGAAATCAAGTTACAAATTTTAGCTAATTGATAAATGTATCTTTGTTTTGAGTTGATGTTTAACTAGTGTGCTTAAAACATTTCTTATGCATCGCAAATTCTTGAATTGTAATTATAGGGTTAACTTGCTTTTTGCTGTACTTTATTGATGAAGAACTCAAGATTACTACTGTTCTATTGGCAGCCAGTCAAATTTTAAAATGTAACAATCTGAGAACAGAAAAGGGGGGGGGCATTTTAAAATTTTAGCAGCTGAAGACAAGTTTGTTATAGAAGGTTTATAGTGAGATGGAGGAAAAATATTAAGAAGGCTATAGATAAAAGAGATGTACTTTTGATGTGAAAGGATTTTGTATGTTTGTCTTGTTAGAAGGATAAAGAGATATATAGGAACAGAAGGCTTAGGTAAATTGAGAAGGTGTGAGGAAGTCATTTTTCAAGGAAATATGTATGTTTGCTTATTGGTTTCAAGTTTGTTATAAAAGGTTTACATCTACAGGCATAAAGAGCTTTCATTCCTTCTGATTCTAATTCTACAGGAGATCTCTCTTAATTCACTTACAAAAAGTTTTGACTAGTCTTATTTACAATTATGAACCTAGGGCTGGGGATCTAGGTCAGTGATGCCACCACGTACCTTGCAACCACAAGGTCCCAAATTCGATTCCCAGTACCAAAAAAAATACAATTATGAACCTAAAAATTACAAAAGGATATTATACTTCAATTAGGCTAAATATATTTGAGTGAATTCTAGTTTTATAAATTGTCTTGTATGTTTGTTCATTTGTCTATTCAATTGTATCTATTTTGTTTGAGCTCAATAACTTTTTCTCTTTAAAATTATTTTCTAAAAAAATTTGCCTATAATTTAAATTGGCTTATAGATAAAGGTTATTAAAGTTAAAGGTAGGCATTTCTTTTTTCCCTCCAGGTTGCTAACAGATCAAAATGATGTAATACATGATGTTGTCCAAAAATAATCACTCCAAAACTTTGATTGGTTACAAATAATGTATTAATTCTTATAATCTGGTTTTTATAGCTTATTTAAAAAGCTTTGTCAAGGTAATTAAATGGAAGCCTTAGATTTGAGGAGACTGCTAAATGGGACTCCCCTTCTTGAACAAAGAAACAGCCTCATAGAAATATTTTCCAGTCTTTGTTCACTAGGGGGTGCTTAACAGTTTCCATAGCCCTACAACAGACTGACTCTGATAGTCTTCATAGCCTTATAAGAGACTTACATCAATGAATATTACTTAAATTTTTTTTTTGCTCCCACTGCTTTAAGTTTACTGGTACATTTTAGGTATAAAATACAGTCACATTCATCATTGGGATCTTGTACCTTTACATGATGTATCTTGGTTCTTATTTTTTTCCCCTTCCCCTGCCCTCCCTTCACCCCCTACACCCTTCCCTATTTGTAAAAACTTTGTTTCCATTTTTTTCCTTTCCTCGTATTTTTTTCCCCTTCTTTCCTTTCCCCTACCCCTGCCATTTCCCCTACTCCCTTCCCCTACCCCTCCCATTTGCCCTACTCCTTTAGACCTTTTCTTCCTATTACACAATATCAATTATACATTTTTAAAATTACAATATCAAAATTCAGAGGACATTACCACAGATTTTACAGAATTTAAAAAGATACAGAAAGCATATTACAAAAATATTTTTTGAAATTAATTTGACAACTTTTAAGAAGTACCTCGGAAGACAAATTAATGAAACTGACTCCGGAGAAAATATAAAATTTGAATAGCACTTATTAAAGAAAGTATATTCCTAGCTTGAAAACCTACCTCTATGACAACAACAGGCTCATATACATCTTAACTGATGAATTATATCAAACATTTAAAGCAGAAGAAAGAACACTTCTCCTCTCATTTTAGGAAATTAATATTGTGCTAATCCTAAAACTGGATAAAGATAATAGAAGAAAAAAGTATGGACATAGATAGAAATTTGTTCAACAAAACAAACTATTAGAAGTCAGATCTGGCAGTATGTAGAAAGTGGTTTTGTTATGGGGATGGCAGTGTTGGTTCAGCAATGGAGGATCCACCCCCAAAAGTCATCATTTTAACAGAGGAAAGGAAAAAGCCATATGATCCTATCAGTAGTTGCAGAAAAAGTATTGGACTAAATTCCACAGCTGTTCATAGCAAAAGCTATCCAGAGACTAGAAGTAGAACAGCACCTGCTCAACAGATAAGCCATGTACTTCATACTTCCAGAAAAACACCTTATATGAATGGAGAAGATACAATGCTGTCTCCCTAAGGTGGGGAACAAGGGCAAATATGCCTACTCTTCATCTGTCCATTAAACTTTGAAACATAGGCCCAAACCAAAATAGCCTGACAATGAAATGACACAATTAGGATAGGATTGGCAAGGTAGAAGTAAAATCTTTATGAAATGATCATCTACAGAGAAAATATTAAGAAATCTCTAGGAGCCCCTAGAACTTGTATTTGAATTTAGCAGGATCAGAAAACACTAGGTATATATAAAAATTCAGGTCTACGTATACTTGCTATAAATGAAGAATTGGATATTGAAATTTAAAAGTTATGTAGGAGTACAAAGGACCTAGAAATGAAAAAAAGTATTGGAAGACATTTATTACCTAATTTTAAGACTTCTTCTAAATCTACAGTAATCAAGGAAGTGTTGGTGTAAGGAAAGACATACAGATCAATGGAATAAAACAGAGAATCTAGAAATAGAACCACACATATATGGTCCATTGAGTTTTGAAAGATTATTTAATATTAACATTTTATAGAACATAAACTCAATTCAAGACCAGAGGAAAATATAGTGTTTTCAGCAAATGGTACTAGAACACCTGGTATCCGTATATAAAAATTAACTTCAACCCTTTATTTCCATACATAAAAATAAGTTGAAAGGATCTATGAACCTAAATATGAAAGACTAAAACTATAAAACTTTAAGAAGAAATTATAAGGGACAATGTTTATAAATTTAGGGTAGGCAAGAATTTCCTAGGATACAAAAAAACATGATGTATAAAAGAAAGAAATTGATAAATGA